AAACTTGTCTCAGATGAGATGCTCAAATTTGAATTTACACTGTAAAAACTGATGTGTTAAATTTAACATTTCATGTGTCCCAAATCACCCACTCTCATTTATGTATAAATTTAATACAAAACAAATGTGGTGAAAAGTAACATGCGTAATATGTAAAAAATTAACAAGAATTTAACACTTGAATACCATCAGGAATCAGTTTGTGTTAAATTGACATATGTATAATGTTAAATTAACTAAAATAAAACGTTACTTTAACATTTGAGAGGAGTATTAATCTATGGTTTTGATGAAATGAAAATGTTAAATTGACATAATCTATGTCTGACATATTAAATATGTCAATTTAACATAACCTGTTATTCTTAACGGTACTCAAGTGTTAAATTCTTGTGTTAATTTTTTCTATGTTTATGCGTGTTACTTTTTAACATATTTGTTTTGTATTAAATTTACACATAAATGAGAGTGGATGATTTGGGACACATGAAATGTATAAAATTTAACACATCAGTTTTTACAGTGTAGAGTCGAGTTTTTCTGTTGAATTGCGTGTGCAAATATCACGCATATATCGCATGATTCGACTGAGAAATTCAGATCTAACTCTAGAGTACGTATAACTCTGAAGAAAAATCTGGGTATCTCACCTGAGGCAAGTCTCGGATGACAACTATTAATATAGTCCTGAATGCAAATCCGAATATCTCACTTCAGAAACAAGTTTCAAATAATAACTATTAATGCAGGCCTGAATTTAAATGAAAATGCTTCGCGTGAAACAAGGCTCAAATAACGGTTATTAATGTGGGCCTTAGAAGACGTAAAAATGCCCCGTTTTGAATCTCCGCGGCGCCCCACGTCCTCGTGCATCCTGCGGCACGCCGTTACCGCGATCGTTTAGTTGCCGCAACCCGGTGATTGACAAGCTATAAAAATCGGCTTTATCAGGAGGGCCTGATTTCATGCGTCGGTCGTTAGCTCGACGTTGGCAACGTCGTCCCGTCGTGGTTTCGCGACGACGTGGATGATTAACGGGGCCCAGGCCCAAGCAAGCGCTCGTCTCGATTTTAGCGCCGAGCGCAGTAAAGCGCGATTACGAGGACCGAGCCGCGATCTTGGGCGACGACGATACGGATCTGGCGAAATATTATGTAAATAGAGGCGTGCGTTAAAACGCGCGCGCGATCTAAAGCCCGCCTCTGCCTACCTGCCTTGTTTCTTTCTTGCCTGTCTTCCTTACCTGCCTTCCCTGCCCTGCCTTGCCCTGCCTGCCTGCCTGCCTGCCTGCCTGCCTGGCCGGAGATACCGGCTGGATATAAAAGAAGCATAAAGTAACATTTAGCGCGCGCGCTTAAACGAAATTGCTGTAATCCCCGGCGAGGCGGGCAAAAGCGCGCGCGCGCGCAGGGGCGAGGAGAAGAAGAAGAATCGCGCCCAGGTTAGGGGGTGCATCGGGAAGAGCGAAAGAGAAAGAGAGAGAGGCAGGGAGGGGGCATTAACATACCGATTTACATAATGCGTATAATTCGAGCAATTATGAAGGGAAATATACACAATTTAATATAATGGCGGATGTTTAGGGCCGGCGCTATATCTACCGCGGGAGATCTCTCCGGTATATGTGTGTGTCTGTGTGTGTTGTGTGTGACTAGAGACGAGCCCCCTCGCATCGCGTTATGCATATGTAGACACATCCGCGAGAGAAAGAGGGACGGACAAGCGCTACCGATAGTTTTACCGATAGTTGCGCAGCAGGTGCGACGGCGGTACGCAACGTCGCGGTTGATCGGTGTTGACGATCGAGCTCGATAGTGGCGCGCGATTCGAGACACGAGATGCATCGTTCGACCCGGACGAAACGAAATGACGGTACGTCTGAGCGAATGGTTAATTAACGCGCCACGAAGTCATTGCTACGAAGAAGAAGAAGAAGACGGGGAAGAATAAGAAGAAGAAGGGCGCGACGGAGGCCCCGGACGGACGAGGTCCGTTCTCGCGAGGTGTCCCGGCGGACAGGAAGCGAGATAACGCAACGAGACGACATTTCAAAATTACAGAGCGCGTTTCAGTGATAAAAGGGCACCTGGTGGTAGATGCGTTATCTGCCGCGGTATTTACATGCCACATCTAACATCGTTATCCGCCGCTATAATCGCTCGTGTTCGACTTTGAATAATAGCATTATAAAGGCGTGTTTCCCCCGCTTCTCGCCACGCTCTCGCGGTATCTGTCCTCTTTTTTCCTGTTCCTTTTTTTCACGCGAAAACACATCGTGCCGTGATTGCATCTGATTTTCTTTTCTCCCTTCTTCGCGCGGCGGAGTCCCTATTACGCGGGCGACGCTACGAGGCGGTTAGAAAATTTCTAGCGAGTCCAAGCTGCGCAGCCAGGAATTTTTCTGTGGGTTCCCTTGGATGATCTAGAAATCTCATGTGAAAGTACGGCGATGTGAATGAAGTAGAGGATTCATTTCGTCTCACAATCCGCGCGAGATCACTGCGGATTATCAAACGACGACCGCTCGTCGCGGGATGAAAAATGGCGTGAGAATTAATCGTAGAGATATTTTCGAGGAAACGTGACTGGTGAACCGGCGCACTCTTCAGCTTCGAAAAAGAAAAAAAAAAAAGAAAAGAGAAGGAAGGCGCCTCTAGAAGGTTAGTCCCTAATGACGAAGCGTCTTCGCGCCTGCCTTCCACATAGGCGGACATTGATTGATACAGCCGGCATTGCTAACATATTTTAATTTGTGTTTTCACACGACGAACATGAATTTTCCCGGGTCAGTCGACGCATCCCTCGTTCGAGCTGTCAGACGGTAACGCCGTAATTATGACGAAAATATTGCCGGAGATAAACGTATCTTTTCATTGCTGATGAATAAAAATGCAGAAGGTATAAAGTGTAGTGTGCTCGCTTTTTAACGATGTGCATAATGACTGCACACGAGCTGCGCGCATGCACACACACACACACACACACACACACACACACACACACACACACACACACACACACACACACACACACACACACACACACACACACACACACACACACACACACACACACACACACATCGACGAGTACGCACTTCTCGCACTTCGCACTTTTTGCCGCGTTTCCCTAAACGTACTCTTATACACGACCCTTGTTATTTTTAGTGCGGCAAGTTGATTTATTAACCTCTTTAATCACGCCGTAATTGCCTCACGTCTCTCCCGCGTTCGTTTCGCCGCGGTGAAGTTGAAAATTGATTCCTCAACGACACGAAGGATTTGTATCTTGAGATCTATTCGTTATTGTTGTTGAAAGGTATTTCATACAGCGCTTTGCCCGAGGCGCCGATCGTTTTAAGTACAGCTTGCAAAATATGATAGTGAAGTACAATGAACTTTATGGCTTAGAAAGTAAGCACAGTGCATTCGAACAGTGCTGGGCACAAATGGAGTAAAATCTTAAATTGAAATAATTGGCAAATCAGTAATTTAAGTTAATCAATCGTCGTATACGTAATCACGAATAATTTAATGGATCAGTGAAATGAATTATTAATCAGTATGAACGCAATCACGTCGAAGTTTGGTTAATAATTAATTTCATTAATCGGTGAAATAATTTGTGATTTTACATATGAGGTTTGACTAATTTTGATGATTGATTCGCCGATTATTCCAGTCAAAGAATATTTTAATAGATTAACGCTTAACGCTGCATTTCAAATGTCATGTTTAAAGGAAGAGATGCAGAGGTATTAGGTGCATTATTTTGAAAAAGGAGGAAAACAGAAATGTAATATTGGAAAGAAAAAGAATAGCACACACGCAATCGATACTGCATAGCTACTGTAAGCTCGCAGAAAAGGAATATTATCAGAGAGAAAGAACGCTCTGAAAGCAATGTAGATCACGAGCAGCATCCTCGCAACGCGAATTTATCGAGTGCTATCAGGCGAAACATTCCGTCGATTCCGTCGATTCTTACAGATATCGTTATCATCGAAAACACTGTTTGTCGCTTAACACACCTTGTTGCAATGCCACTATCTCTCTTCCCCCCCTCTCTCTCTCTCTCTCTCTCTCTCTCTCTCTCTCTCTCTCTCTTTCTCACATCGAGATCTCGCAATTATCGGCGGAGACGCCTCGCGATAATGCGGAAATCCCGGCGAAAGAACCGAGGGCCAACACGACTTGTTGGCAGATTTCCGCTGAAACGCGTTGCTCCGAAGGTAGATAACGCCGCGCGCGGATAACTAACGAGATAGACCGCGTTTATCAGTTGTACAGTGCGCGCACGCGCGGCGGGCGTACGCGGTCTCATTCCAATTAGCGTTACAGGCCAAGCTAATTGCTCGATATAAATCGCCGCGACTTAAAAACGTTTGAATAATTGGACGGGAACCGCAGGTGCTCGAGGCCCGGCTCGGTTGCGCTCGGTTCGACGTTGCTTTATTATGCGCGTTTGAATATTTAGCGCATTCGAAGTTGCGACGTTCTCTAATGACGCGTGTTCTAATGCGCTCGCTCGCCCGCTCGCCGATCGCCGGCGGATAAAACGACAGACGGAATGAAGTCGCCTTTTTTACTTGGGAGCGTTCAGGAGTAATTCGCTGCTCGCGCAGCTCGCTAATAAGTCTCATTAGCGCTCACGACAATCTCCTCGCGTCGGCAGTAACGTGTAAGTTCGGTTTTGTGCTGCTTTCATTAAGTTATTGACGAAAGGAGAGACAGCGAGCAATGCCCTCGACACCCTCGGTACTGTGTTAAGCATTAATCGGTAAAAATTTTCATTGACTAAGATAATCGGCCAATCAGTGGTCAAAATTAATCAACCGTTATGTATGTGTGCGAAGAATATTAACGAACTAAATAATTGGTCATTATTATCGAAACTTCAGTGTTACCTTGATCGATGTCCACTACCGCCATCTTCGAAAAGTACAGACCCCCGGCGAATTACATCTGCACGTAATTTTGTACACTTTCCATTAGTTCATTGCTATGTGATGCGGAGAGACAGAGAGAGAGAGAGAGAGAGAGAAAGGGAGAGGGAAAGCCGCGCTCTCGACACCCTCGCAGGATGTGTGTTCGGGCGCCGACACGACGGAACTGTGCGTGATATTTAATTCGCTCGTAATCACGAGTGTCGACCAAACCGGTGGATCGGAGTGACCGAGGGGAGGGACGGAGGGATGAAGGAAAGAGACAGAGACAGAGAGAAGACGACGGTCGAGGCCTCTGCCTCGTGAAGGCGAGGGTGAAGGAGAAGGCGAACAAGGAAGAGTGGTCCGCTCGACTCGCGCGTATCTCGAGATCTATCTGAATAATAACGTGTACGACAACATGTCAAATTATACAGAACTGCGACGCACGCAGACCTGTGGAACTCACACACATATACACAGCAGCAAATGCGTGCGTGCGTGCGTGCGTGCGTGCGTGCGAACGAATGAACGAACGAACGAACGAACGAACGAACGAACGACCAACCAACGAACGGACGAACGAACGATCGAGCGTGCGTGCGTGCGTGCGTGCGTGCGTGTCGCGCGTTCGCTCCCATGTCGGCATCGGTGGACAGGGAGCACCGGGGGTGGTACGAGGGCGACATGTGTTCGCGGTGGCGGTGACTCTCTACAGCAGTTTTATAATTGCCCGACTGGATATCGTGTGCCGCTCTCGTTGAACGAGATTCGCGAAACACCGTTGCGTTTTGCCATGGAATCGAGTCGATCTTAACCCTGCGCGCGATCCACCCCTCCGCTTCCCGCGATTATTGCCTTCCTGCACCTTCTCCAGGGCCGGCGTTCTCCTCCGGGCGGTCTTCGGTTTCTCGACTCTTTCACTGCACGAGCGTTGAAGTTCTGCAACGTTCCTACGCTCGTTAACCATGACATTTCCGTGTTCTCGAACGAGGCGGAGAACACCGACAGCTCCCCGTCGCGAGCTCCGTCGTTCGAGAGTCGTCGTCTGCTCTTTCTTCGTAACAATCAATCGCGAAAAAATTGTTATTATTATTCATGTTGGAGTCGCATCACGAATCGCAAAGTCGCGAGAGAATTCGTGCTATTAATCGCAAAATCGCAAAGAAGCTGTTATTATTAATCGCGAAGTCGCCAAGAAATTACTATCATTCGCCGAGAAATAGTGAAAAAATTATTATCAATCTCAGGTCGCGAAAAATAATTTCCTTCATCATTATAATTGAGTCAGAAATGATGTTATCGTTACATCTCAAAAGTACTTTCTCCACCTTGGGTGCACTTACCCCTTCGGTGAAGTCGAGGGCAGGCGTTTCTCGCTGAAACGAGATGAAGGATTTTCCAAACGAAAACTCCCCATCTTTCTTGAAGCCATCGACTTATGCTACGCGCAAGTCGCGCAAAGCACCGCCTCGAGCGTTCTTCCTCGTTGCGAGGGCAGGACGGCGTGTTCTTGACTTCGGGAACCGACTCAGCCGACCCTGCGCGCCTTCCCTCCGCCATCTCGTCACGGAGCTACCGGTGACAATTAAATCACAGGTCCCGCTTGATCATGACGGATCGCCGGCGCGGCCTCGCTACTACTTTGCCTTGGAAATCTCGTCGATTTTCCTCGTCGACGTCTCGCCGGCGGATACTCGTCGCGCGCGTATCGCCTCGTTCCGTCGCTCGCTCTGCACGCGGAATCGACCTTAAGCCCCGTTCAAACGGCTATCACTCGCTGCCTCCGCGATACCGTAAGCGTCAAGCCGCGCCAACGATATCGGTGACCATCCGCACCGGTGTCCAACGGTGTGTGTCACTTGGAGAAACGTCGGGGACGGTCGCGTTGAAGCGGAGTGAGATTTCAAGTGTCGCCGGGACGAAAATCGGAGATCCGGCTCGTCCGAGCGAGCCTTTAGCGAGACGTTTTCACCCCCCTCCCGTATCGCTTGGCCATCTCCGGGTAGTACACACGATCGTTGGTCGACCACGGCGTGATTGCCGCCTGTCAACAATCGTCGACGTGTATACGGGCGATAATTCGTCGCTACAATCGCCGACCCGCCACAGCGCGGTAATGACAACGATGATGGATCTGCGGCGCGCGATGCTGAACTTTGTTTGCTCGAGGGCCACGCGACCATACATGCAAATCGTGCTTGTGCTACTATGCGGCGTTTTATAAATAAGGTCTTAATTAATACTAACGAGGCTGACGCGCCGATATGTGTAACTATCGTCTTTTCTGTTTTACGCCTCCGCGCCTGCCCGCTGCTGCTGCTGCTACTGCAATGGACATGTTGATCAAATCGTTATGTGTGGACATCACCGGCAGTATGTAAGTATGATATTTTGTTGATTATTGTTGTGAATTATTCGTCCAATTCGAGTCGAAATTTTTTATCCTTACACTTTCGACCTAAACTTTTCAACATCTACATTTTCTGAAGGGTCAGCGTTATGTTTAATGCACATGTATGGAAACTAAAGTTCTCCTTGATGTCTATAGATAACAGAAGATACACAAAATACTACTTGTAGGTGGCTAAAGAAGATCTCTCGGCAAAGCCAGGTTAAATAGAATCAAAAGACATTGATATAGGCTTTAAAGTAAGCGTTAAATGGAATATTGGGGTCGAAAGTAGGATCAAAATTTGAAGTCGAATGTATTTAATACTTTTGTATACTAAAGCTTCTTTTGGCGCCTCTAAATGTTGGAAAATGTATACTTGTAGATTCTAAAGAAAACCTCTTGGTGAAGTTGGTAGGTTAAATAGAATCACATAGGTTGATAATATCACTTCAGGCTTCAGAATATCGAAGTAAGAGTCAAATGTAATATTGTGAAGTCAAAAGAGTAGAATCAAGATTTCAACTCGTGAATACATACATATACACACCTATACATTAGAAAGCCTCACTTTCAAAATAAGCCACACGGTGGCTTATCGTTTTGCCTTTCAGTCGAACTCTAGCGAGTGCAGTTCATTTAGAAAAGTACTGCAGTGCGGTTTCCAGCGGCGTGCAGTTTTCGCGCGAGACGATTTATCATCGGAAACCGCGGCGAAGCGCGCGGTTTGAAATTTTTTGCCGCTGGCTGCCGCGTGGTGTAATTGCAAATTCGATTTACGCGGAAGACGGCAATTCCGCGCACGACTATCCCAAGAAAGTATCCTTTTACCGAGCGCGCGTTTCCACGATCCGCTTTCGCGGGTAAATCCTTCCCCCGTGGCCGCGTCGAGAAATCTGAACGAGAGAGAAAGATAGAGAGAGAAAGAAAGAGAGAGCAGTCCTCGTTCTCTTCAATTATCGGTTATCGTCAATCGAAATTACTTTATCGATCTAAAGCGCTGCTACATTAGCCCCGCCGGAGCCTGGCCGGCCGGCACCGGCGGCTTTCGATTACTTCGGCGATGTCGGCCTGTCTGATGTCGGTGCTGCTCTCATTATGTGGAATATGAGAGCCCGTGCTAGCTCGCCGCGCTCCACCGGCCCTTCGATGCCGCCTATCTTTTCACCTTTCTGCCCAGCCACCTGTACACCGCCGCGCGATCCTCGAAATAGTAGCTCCCTCCGCGAGAGCTTCCCTTTGAAATCGCTCGCACGCGTGTACGTTCCCTTGCCAGCGATCGTGCCGACTCGACTTTTTCGGGAACTTCTTAATTCCTATCCCAAAGCACACAGTTAACTCTTAACCTTGGAAAATCAAGAAACTAGCAAGAATTGAAAATTAAAAAGAATTAAGAAACTAACTGAAAAGTAAGAAGTTTACAAAAAGGAGTTAACTTGGTTCTAGGAATGCTCTATTATTCTCCAAGATTCCCTCATATTGTCAACTAATCATGGCTTTAGGGTAATTTTTCAAATAACTGGATTGAACCACATACACACAGTGTTGGGCACATTGATCGATTAAAATGTTGATTAAAATAATCGACAGTTCCATAATCGATACGATTCCATACGAATAATTTAATCGATTGATAAAATCAGCTATCAATCAAACTTTAATTTGGTTGATTATTCACTGATTAATAATCGATTTCAGATTATTAATCGATTAGTTTACTCGTTATCACATACATGATGATTGATTAACTTTCACACATGATTTAATTTATTTTAGCTAAATAAAATTAGAAAGCACCCTCTTCAAGCGGAGATCCTCTTGCTCCTTCGCGCCGCGACGGTGGCGCATCCGCGCGAAAGTCGATCCATCAATCTATCGGTACCTAGACAGAGCGGCTCCGTCGTTTTTCGCGCGCACTTGGCGTACGCACAGGACGAATCTGCTGTGCTCGTATACGACGCGAGGGACCGATTATGGGCAATACGGTGCCGCAATTGGAGGCTATGCCCGCGGCGGCGGCCAAGAGAGGAGGACAGAGGGATGGGGGATCATCAGGTATACGGCGGGGCCCATGGCGGCGCAGCATGGACCGTGGACTCTGCGGCCTGCGGTACCGGCCGAGAGAGAGGAAGAGCGAGCGAGAGATAGAGGAAGAGGGGGAGTACGTCGGGGGCTTGGGGTTAATACGGTGGCCGGTGATGCACGACCGACGCAACGCTGCGGGCAGAGCGGCTGACCGCACGCCAGCTGCCCGATGCCGGTCGACCTGCCCGCAAAAATCTGTAGCTGACCCTTGCGCCCGCGGAGAGTGTTGCGCGCCGCTCTTCTCCCCGGCACCCAGCGTGCGCGCCACCCTCGCGTCGAGTCCACCCGCAGCCGGGATATTATGCTTGTACGTGGCAATCGACTCCGCACGGTCTATCACTTAATGTCGCACGGGGTGTTCGCGACTCGCTCTCGGCAGTCGAGCAGTTGAGGACGTTCCAACCGCATGCAGGGGTCACTCGCCTCTGTTCGGGGATTTTCCGTTTTAACGGAGTGATACGATTTCGGGAGAGATGCCGGGGATAATTTTTACAGTGGAATTTAATGACGTTTCTCTCAAGGAAGTGTGTGCAGCGGAACACGCTGTAAATTAATATACGTCGGCCTCGTGAAAAGGCTTTCTGTGTTTTTGAGCAAATTAGCT